GTGCTTGGCGTGTGGAAATTATTAAATACTTATTATGTAACTCTTTACAGGGTTTGAAAATTTTACTGTGTGTGAGCATTCATAATGTGGAGATATATTTTTAAATATATTTGCATATATTTAATTGCTAAGCATTATGTTTGTACTAGAATTTTCACTTTGAAAAGTTTAAGCAGAATAAAAAGTTTTAACTTGATTGACCTAATAAAAAGACACCAGTGCCTTGCATCCCACTCTAGGGTTTTGAAAGATTAAAGCAAATAGAAATGTGGATATCCTTAGCAGGTGTATCTCTAAGAAAGTCATGAACAAAGAAAATGTGTGCCACCAAAGCAGTCTAGAGTGAAGTCCTCATCGCTCAGCTGGGAGTCCCCAAACAAAGCTGCTAAAAAAACAGGCAACTTGAAATAAAGAAGAATAAAAAAATGCCCGTTTTGAGGTTTCCCTTTTTTCTATTGAAGAGCAGGCAATGTGGATTTCATACTGAAGTAGAATTCTGTAAAGTAAAAGTGCAAGAATCTCTTTCAGTATGGCTTCTGGCAATGTGCTTTAAGTGAAATCTGTAGAGAAAATTAATCAGTACTGTCCCGGGACTTTCCTAAACTTGGGAAATGTTTGCTTTCAAAATCAAACTTTTTAGTTAGTAACTTAATCAAAAGCAGTGAATGTGTTTTTCTCTATCTTCTATCTTCCTTTGATCTCTTGTTGTAGATAAGTAGTACAATTGGGTTGATATGCTAAATTAAAATTAATGTGGTTTAATTTTTAGTATTAAACTAGCTGTTTTGTGGTATTTATTTTTGTATAGATCTTTGGTTTACTAGAAGGTTTGGTTTAAGAAGGAAGAAATGGTATATTCAATTTTATCTATAGCAATGAGAAATAACTTTGAATATTTATGTTCTGAAGAAATATCACTGCTTTGACATCAATTTGCTAGAAATGCTACATTAATTAAATCTTTTAATTTTATGTGAGTGTTGCTTGTTTTAAATATTAGATTTTTATACATCATCTAGCCTAGCATGAAATATGGAACTAGACTCCTTCGCAGTTTAATAACCATCCTTTTGAAAGGTTCAAAGCACCATACACAAGAAGGGAAAGCTTTCATTCAGAATTTCCTCTTATTTAATAACTGTGAAATGTTAATAACAAAACATGAAATCATTTATGTCTGGTCTGCTGCACTGATTATAGGTTTCAAATTTGGTTATTCACCATTATATTCAATTTTCTATTTATTCTTACTAGTTTCACGACCATAGCTATCTACCCATGTTACTGTACAGATGGTGTTGATTGTAAGATATGACATCTTGAGACAATTATGTTATAATCTCATGTGTCTCAGATTGGTAGAATGATCCCAAATATTCTCTAAGATTTCATTTATATTAAATAAATTAAATACTGTTTTAGTTAATTTGCATTTTATTTAGTTTGAGTCTCTGTGTCGGTTGTGTGTACATGTATACACATGCCATGGCCCATGTGTAGAGACTAGAAGACAGACTTCAGGAGTCTTTCCACCATATGAGTCCTGAGACCTAACTCGGGTCTTCAGGCTTGGTATCAGGAGCCTTCACCCAGTGAGTCGTCTTGCTGTCCCTAAAATACTGTTTTATAAAGCAGTAGAAAGCATGTCCACCTTCTATAGTGCCCATTTCTTCTTTCCAAATTATTGAGTGCCTGAAAAGAAAACAAATAAAAATAGAAAAGATATAGATGCCGTCTAACCACTCACTTGTCGCTGAGTGAGACATCGATCTCCAGTGTGGAGCGCATCATTTCTCTCAGGAGAAATCAGACTCCTCTGCTGCCGGTACACCTCCGCTTGTGATGCTGCAATCAGTCACATGTTTAGTAGACACTCACGTTCTGTTAGCCTTCCTCCAAGACCACAGGGATGCACTGCTCACCTCTCTTTCTCATGACAGATGCCATTCTTTCTGTTTATGCCCTACGCTAGAGTATAAATATGTGCAAGAATATAAATATGGTGAAGAAAATGTCAATAGTAAGGTAATCTTTCACCATTTGAAAGAAGCCAGAGTAGATTTTTGCTATGAAAAAAAAAATATTCTAGCTTTCCCACCTGGAATTAAAGTCTGAGAAAAGTTATATCTATTTGCGCGAAAAGAAAAGGAGTGGGTTTTTATTAAGTTAATTGTTCATTCAGAGAAAATATTTTCAGTGTTTCCTCCTGCATCACCTGTAAATGCACAGATAACAATCCTTAACCGTAGATGTTCTGCCTATAGTCATTCATTTGTAACATGTATTTTTCCCTTAAAAGCCTTAAAAGGAGAGTGGTTATTTTTAATTTGTTTTCAAATATTCTTGAACATATTCTCAAAAACCTAAAATATTCATTTACTATGCTTTGAATAATGTGACATTTGGCTTATCTGTAATTATTACTCTACACATTGTCTTTAAAAAATACGTAAAATAATAGTTTTGATTGTATAGATCCAGTTGTACAACTCTTATCTTTTAAATGGAGTCTCTCTCTCTCTCTCTCCCTCTACCATTTGTTTGAATACTAAGTCTTGATTAGCTACAGTTTAAAAACTATTAATTCTTCAAAGTCCTTGGCAGAACCAAACAAGCAGTACTCTTTACATTGCCCTTTATTGTGATCACCACAGCATGAGCCTGACAGTGAAATTGACTGTCCATAGTTTCTTACGCAAGGGACTGAGCCAAGTATGATTTTGTTAGTCAGACTAAGTATTGGGACATATTTCATCTCATATATTGGCTTGGATGCATTTTCCCCATTTTTTATTTCTACGTATTATCCTTCACCTTGAATGTTTTATTTCTGCAAAAATTAGAAAGGTATACTTCTATTTATTTTTATGGTAGTTCTTAGATCAACTCAGGTAAACTATATCCACTAATTCTTATAACACTGGATTTTCATATTATCCTTTCTTTTACTCTGAAAATGCATATTTGATTAACTGTATTTTTCTTTTCCTTAACATCGTATTAGTGGGAGGGACCTAATATAAGTTTGACATGGCCAAGGACTGCCTACTGGGTGAGCTTCTTTTGCATAGTGTGCATTATCCCATAATGCAGACTGAGGCAACATCACTGTAAGCTTTGGATTGCTATTTAGGAAATACAGTTTGGAATGTGTATTCTGCACATGCCATTGTCGGCCCAGTGAAACCGTGAAGATTTCTGCAGAGACGCTGCAACTGCCACTCAGAAATCACCCCACAAGCACCCATGCTTGTTTAGGTCTCAACATATTTCACCTAATTTTTTTTCTTTCTCTTCTAAGTTTTATGGGTTGCTAAATTAATTTTTGTTTAATGCCTGTGGCCTGATTGCTTCTTTTGCATTTATATTATTTATTTTATTACCATTATTTATTTTTCATGTCTGTCAAGCAATAATACCTCTAAATTACAATGATTGCTTAGCAAAAGTTAAAACATGATAGCAAATTGTAACTATAACACACATTCCTTCTACCATAAAGATGTCAAATATGAAATATTTTTATTTTGTTTTGTTTTATTTATTTATTTTTTACAAGATTTGGCTGTATATCATGATTTGCCAAAAAACTGGCAAGCTTCCTGTCTTAGCCATCTCAGTGTTTGGCATTAAGTTATGAGACACCACACATAGCTTTCTGATCGTTAACAAAGATCACAAACTAAAGTTTTTAGTGTTTCTTGGAACACAAAACTGTGACCTAGAGTTTTTGTGCTGATATATGTCACATAGAAGAGATGACAGTTGTTGGCACCCTGTTGCTGTGCACATATCTTGTTCCTGGATAACCATGAAAACTGAGTTCCCCATGCTGTTGCAGCAAGCATGTTACCTTACCCTCACTTAGCCATTGTTCCAGCACACAGCCATGATGCTTGCAATCAACGCTGAGTGCTTTCTATATTGATATCTACCTTATTTTTTGAGACAGTGTCTCTTAAAGAAGCTTACTGGAACTTGCTGTTTTGACAAATAGTTGGAAAACCAGCAAATACTTTGGATCCAACTGTCTCTGAAATCTTAGCTGTCAGCACCAAAGTCACAGATATGAGCTGCCCAACACCTGTCTTTTATATGTGTCCTTGGGATCAGAACTTGGATCTTAGAGCTTGTGGAGAAACTACTTTATGCACTGAGTATCTTGTCATTCCTACATATAGTTTTTAAGTGAATGAAGGTACAGAAAACAACAACAAAAAAAAAAAAAAAAAAAAAACAGAAGATGACAGCAAACCTCCTTGCATCCTAGTTACCACTTGAATTTGGTTTTATCGAGTAGTTTATAAGTGGTTCCTCCTGTAAAAAATTAAAGTCTAAATTTGAATTGTTACTGGAGTTTTACTGCAGATTACTGTCTACTATTACTGTTTATCTTATTGGTTATACTTACTTGACATTCATAACTTCCTATGGATATTTACAAACAAAGGGAATGAGAGCCATCTATCTGACAAGCTGATGTGCTAGGTGTCCATTACCAAGTGAATTCATTCCCCAAAATGATGCCTATATTTTCATATCTTATGTACCTTGTACAGAGAAATTATGGGATGTGAATTAAAATTGTTGATAAAAATCTAGTTAAAGTAATCACTGTAAAAAAACTAAATAAGCAACCGAAGCCCTCTGCTTCATGCATGAATATATTTATGTAGTAATTTGTGTAGAGTAAGAAGAAACTTAGATTACAAATCTTTGTTTTCATAGGACGACACCCTCTGTCAATAAAATAACATTTAATTGAATGTGGGATTTCTTCATGGTACTTTATAATTTGGACCCTATTTTAGTGTCCTTGAAGTCCCAGGCAGCCATAATTTCCACTGCTATGTTGTGCAATTTAACAAAGGCCATAAGAACATCAAGACACGGGAAGCACTTTTTAAGTAGCAGTGTGGAATAATAATAAAACTGTATAGTTAATAACCATAAAGACATACAGTACTCTGAATATTCTCTCACCTCCCTTTTATTTATAGGTATTGAAGAGTGACACAGGAAAATAGCACCATGAGTTCTGGAGGCTTCTGTGGATTTTTAATCGCATGAGGTAAATATTGAGTTTATTTTAATTATGTCTTTAGAATGAAAGTGAATTACATCTTAAAAATTGTTAAACTAATATGTTTTATGAATATATTTCAGACTACATGGCTTATGTTCATATTTGCTTTGTGTCCTGTATAAAAATTTTCATATATTTTCAAATATTCAAGGGTTATTCTCTGCCTTTCTTTTTTATTTTTCTGTGTATTTTGCAAGCATATCTTCTGACCATGTCTGTGACTCTGCGGGATCTGGGATTTCAACTTAAGTCATCTAATTTGTTGGCAAGTGTCGCTTAACCATACCCCTAGATTAGTGTAACTCTCAACCTTCATCAGAGACATTTATTTTTGAAGTAAATGGTTATTAAAATAAAGTTGTGCAACTGGTCAAGGTTCACACAAAAGAAAGAGAGAGAGAGAGAGAGAGAGAGACTGAAGTGTTCAGCTCTAAATGGCTCTATTAGACCTCTACTCCCAAGGCTCAGGGGTGATCATAAAAGAGTCATGGAAAGATTCTATGAGAATCAAAGGTAGTCAGTTTCTGAAATGAAATACTTGTTGGACGTGGCAGGACTTATGCACAAGTAAACCACTGTCAGCTGTGACTGTAGGCGCAAAACCTTCAGTCAAGCCAGAGCAACTGACAACACAGATGGAGGATGCTTCATCATGCCCAATCACTAGCTGAGGGGCCTTGGCAGTTGGTGGTTTCTAGGGGAATGAGAGCCAGTCCTCTTCAAGCGTGCAGACGCTAAGAGGCTACCTATAAACTGTCCCATATCTATGCACACAGAGGCAGCACAAAGTGGACTCGGTAAGTTTTAAAACAAAGAGCACATGAAGAGGAGAAAAATGTGTCAGTGAAAGGGCTAAGAAAGGAATTACAGAGGATGGAATGAGAGGAACTTGATTAAAATATAACCTATGCATGTATGTAGAACAAAGCTGCATGTAATATTTGATGTCTGAAGATGCACCTTTGTGAATGTTTATGCCTTATGCTTTGTTTTGCAATACAGTAGGTACTTAGGGGCTGGTAGGTAAATTTAAATTGAAAACCAGCTTACTTACAGATGAATATCAGTATAGGAAGAGTAGGTTGAAGTCCAGAGGAAACAGGCACTGTTCCTAAACATAAATACAAATTTAAATAAGAAGGAAAAGAAATGAAAGTATGAAAGGAGGGAGGGAAAGATGGAAGGAGGGAGGAAGGAAAAAGGTGGGAGTGAAAGAAAGACAGGAAAGGAGGGAGAGAGGGAGAAAGGGAGAGAGAGGAAGGAGGTCAAAAGGGAGGCAGAGGAGGAAAGAAAAGGAAAATGGAGATGAGTAAGGAAAATTTTAAAAATGCATTTATGTCCAGGACAAAAACATGAAATCTTGGATACAAAATGTATTGAATTAGCTGTAGCAAAAACAAAGGCATCATTGATAAAATTTAAATCTTACAATCCCCAAACTTAAGCTTCACACCAGGGTATACACTTCACATTTTACAATGGTACCCATTATGTTATCTTGGATGGGGTAATAGAAGAATTGACAGTCATGAGAAGAGAATCAGGGAAGCGGCTAATTTGTTCTGCATAAACTATCTGTCATTTACAAAGTTCTTCCAATCCAAAAAGAATATTTAATAGCACTTAGAATATGATAAACTTGAAATGATTCAAAGACACTTTCTAATGTAATTACTTTTTTAGGATATTTCTTAGCCTCTTCTTTCACAGCCTTTACTGTGGGTTTTAGTAATTCTGGTGAATTAACCTCATCTTGCTTGAATTTATGGAAGCTTGAAATCTATCTTTGATCCTGAAAACAAAAGGAGAGTCGGTTTCAGATGTGCTTGATAGCACAGAGTTACAAGCATATTATATTGTGACATGCTAAAAGTAAAATGCAAATTGTTGCTTTATGGAATTATTGAAAGTTATTTTGAACATTAAAATTCCATTTGCTTGTGAAGGGGTGTTTTAAAAATATCAAATCCTTATGCAAATCCTTTCTGCACTGACAACTTCCATTTTAATAAAAGTTTGAATCAAAGAGAAATGAAAAGATAAATCCTATATCCTCTGACTTATTCTACCATTAGATTCATTTTACTTTCATCGTCAGTCTGTGGTGCAAGTAGGTATATCCATTAGGACTTGGCAGTCTGCAATCAGTTGATCTCTGAACTTTGACAAGTTGGGGATTTCTGAAATAATCTCTGTATGATGCAAAATGAAGCAAAATAAACTTCTTTGATGAGGGTGAGAGATCTTACCTGTGATTATAAAGCCAAGTTTTAGAACGCAATTGGAAATCATGCTTGTTTATGCCAATAGTACTTCTATGAAGCTCATGACTTCAGTACCCTGGGTGGTAGGCTAGGTTTCCAGTAACAGGCATCGTTTCCCTTCTGTTCAGGGAGTCCTAATTTCAATTTGACAGTGGTTAGTTACTGCCAAGATACGAGTGTCATTATTGCACCTTTAATAATATTTTGCTAAACCTTCTCGTCCAAAGATGTCGCAATTGGGTAGGAATGTACTGTGCTTCCCCAGAAAAAGCTTCTCTAGCAGCCTCTGGTACAGGGAAAAGCACACTAACAGAAGGAGGCTTTCAGGTCAGACTCAGCTTGAACATTGTTTCTGTCAGAAGTCTAACAGCACTTTGATATAGCTACAGGGTGTATATATATATATATATGGTTAATACAAGGGTGTGCAAGAGAAAAGGTTACCTAATGAAAGTACATTTGTTTAGGGGCAAATTCTTTCTGGATCAGACACAATAATAATGTGAATTTTCAAAGGATTAAATTGTTTGTAGAAGACTGTGTTCTAAATTATCTGAGACGATGGAAATATATTAAAGTCATGTTAGAGGAGGCTAAAATTTGTATCTTTTTTTCTAAAGGTGGCCCAGAGCATTTGGATATAGTAGGACCCACTCTGTAACTGTTTGTTTTTACTGTTGATTGTTTGGTTGGTTGATTTTCATTTTAAAATGGAATTACATAGGTTTATTTTAGGTAACAAAAAGTAGAAATAAAGAAAAGAAAGGGTCCTGTGAAATTGGGGTTGTCTGTAAGACAGGAACCTCTGTAACTATCGTATAACACGCATATCCTACATAGAGCTGACATGTACAGTGCATAACTCCATGAAGCACTGGTACAGATGAGACTCGCTTTTCAAACATTATCTCCATATGTTGCCAACGGGGCACACACCATCTCATCCTCCTGAGTGCTGGGCTTACAAGTATTTGCTACCCTGCTGGAACTTGCAGCTGTTTTCCTGGTGTGTGTAGCCAGTGCATTTGGTTGCTCATATCTAGTTATTTTCATTAATTCATGGTCTTTTATTCAGAGAAGTAACATTTACATATGTTATTAGTCATTTCACTTAATGTCATGATGGTTTTTGTGGTCCATATCATCTTCATTTTTGAAAACCTTTAAGAAATATCATGTAGGGAAAAAAAAGTAGAATTGTTTTAATTCTATCCATTATTTGAATGTGCTTCAATTCAACTATAAAGCAGGATGCAACTAACTGCCTGCAGAGACTTTCCACAACATCAACCATCTTCCTGATACGATCTGCTTAAAGTAAGGAAGAAAGCATTATTGGTACAATCCAGGGCCCAGAGCTAATTTATGAGCCTGAGAAGGGGCAACAACAATGCTACTTACTCAATGGCATTTGATGACTGGTTAGTAGCGGGAGAAAAGATGACTTAGCATCCATCATAAACTACATGCTTCGACGTTTCAGGAGCCTTTGAGTTAGAGCCCAGCACTTAGTTTCCTAGAAGTTCAATATAGAGCATAAATTTAAATCTTTGATGAATACTTTATTATTTTCAGTCAGTTGGGACAATGCCTAGGATAAGACACTGGCCTCTTAATTAGACTTTTCTTTGTATATTGCATAATACATTTAATTCTAAAGATTATGTTAGCGCTGGTTTAGATTTTTCTTTGTACTTCTCTGCATGGAAGTGGTGGAAGCCTGCCTAGGTTATATCTTATGACTGGACATCTCAGTATCATAGAATTTCCAAAAGTATACATGTTTAAAAATCTATAGTTTTTGTCCTTAATTATGAAGATGAAATGTGTGAGCTCTAATGTTCATCCTAAAATACTTTACCGACATTTCTTCCAGTCAGTGTTGATCAGCAGCGCTATAGATTCAAGGTACAATACTTAAAAGAAATTGCCTAAATTATATGACTTCTTTTCATCCATCTCTACACCTAAGGTTTTATCAATGGCTTAAATAAGGACTTAGTGTTTTCTCTTTAGAGAAAATGCTGATTGAATCAATGACATCAACTCATAGTGATTTGTGTTATAGAGTCTGGAAACCCAGGCTTGAATTTAATATTCCAATGTGTGGGCTTCTCCATTCTTCATGAAATATCCCCATTAAGGAAACCATGGCACATATTTTCCTCCAGATTTATTACACAAACAACAGGGCTTCTCTGGCAATTGATTGCTTCTGACTTAAAACTTCAGTGGATCTTCTACATACATGTGTATGGAGGGTTCTGGAAAGCACATAAGCAGAACGGCTTTTTTATTTTTTTCTTAATTACAGATTATTCACTTTGTATCCCAGCTGTAGCCCCCTCCCTCCTTCCCTCTCAGTTCCACCCTCCCTCTCTCCTACTCCATTGAGAGGGGAGGTCCTCCTCCCCTTCCATCTGACCCTAGCTTAACAGGTCTCATCAGGACTGGCTGGATTGTCTTCCACTGTGTGTTAATAGCATATAATGTCATTCAAAGTAAGGAAGCCTAACTGCTCTGAAATCATTCTGGGTGTGGATCCACTTACCCTTTTCTGCAGCATATGTATATTTGGTGATATCTTTCTCTTCCATCCTTTTTGATGTTAATGTGAAAAAATATGATAATCTCAGGTTATTGGCAAACATTTTTTTATAAATGTTCACTGTCATCAGTGTTAAAATAAGACATTTCCAAGAAACCTTATTCTTATTCCAC